CTGTTCATCGACTTTTGCCCTTGCATCGTCATTGTCATCGCGCCCCTCCATAACTCCGTCTATCCCTTCATCACTCAACGAAATGCAATTAATCACCGACTTCGACGTGGTTGGTCCCTCGACCTTCCTCGTCCCCTCCTTCTCTGTCTCATCTAGCAGTTTCATCATCTCATCGGAATCATTTTGCACCTCACTCGCACGTTGTGCATACCCACCTTGTTGCATTTCATTTGCAACAGCCCCACTCCCGGAAGGAGTGGGGCTCGCCATCTGCGATGCACACTCGTTTCCCGCCTACGTTATTAGAGGAGGTCCGTACAATGTAACGTTCGATGACACTTTGTCGACATTCCGTGGAACCTCGGTTGCCTCCATTATCTTGCTGGTTGTCTGACTCATCGCTTCCCCAACACTCGTTGCAAACCGCGTGTTCGACTCCCCCCCAATCTGTGAGCATCCCAACCGGATTGTCTCAACGCCATGGCTTGCTTGGGGAAGATCGATCTTCCAGTTGATGCTCTTGTATGACCGACTTGACTCCAAGTCATAGAATCCGTGTTTATATTCCAGTCGGTTTTTGGAGTGAAGACATTCGAATAGCAATCGAGCCTTTTCCTCAATAGTTGCTTCGTCCGCTCCGTCGTTTTCTTTCCTAACACGAAATACGATTTCGCTCTTCGCCAATTTCAGCCACGAGGCTTCATCCAGTCTGGCTCTGACTTTCCATCCTTTTGTTAGATGGACTGCCATCATCCACTTCCCCTGTACAATGCATGGCTCGAATAGGTCCATATGCCACAAAATGTGATGCCCCCACTTGTCAGACGTCGTTTCTAGCACCTTGTCTGGAATGAAGTACGGCTGTTCACTGGCCTGCGCAATGCTATAAGGGATATCATCACCGGGCATCAGCTTCGGGAGGGCATTTGGAACCGCAAAGTCATCCTCGTCATCGTCTGACCGCATTTCGTTGACCGGGTTTCCTCGAGATTGAACCTTTTTCCGGAACCCTTGACGATTGTCATGAATCAGTACATTCTCAAGTGCTTGAATTGGCGTAAGCGAATCCGTTTGCATGTGTTCAATGGAACTCGCCCTGTCGGTCACGTCACGCGTTGGACTGCTCGCACCCGTCGATTTCGTACGAACTTCTTCTTCCTGGAGGCTTGGCGCGTTGCATGCAGGCACGCTTTTCATTCTCTCTCGCATACGTTTCACTCGCTCCTCTATTTCGAGGTTTGAGGTTTCAGTCTCCTCATCGCTCTCGATCGGATTCCACGCATCATATTCTTTGACAATCTTGCTATATCCATCGTACGTCAGCATTGCCTGATTTCCTCCGAACTTCATTCGTTAGCATCTTGCTACAAACATCGCAAACGACCCCACTTGCGCTTTATGGTGGCCACTATACGCTTCATGTGGCATCGCTTTGCGAACTATGTAGTCATTGCTCGAATGGCGTCTTGGGTTGGCCTTAGAACAAATATTCCCACATCTTGTTTCTCTTCTTGCCCAGCTTGTGGCACATGTCCCTGTCAGGACGATGCGCAGTCTTCTGTCTCTCAACGGTGCATTCGTTTCTCGTATCCTTCCCGAGAATTTCGATGACCTTCGTCAAGTATGAAATGTCTTTTCAAGACGAGTTGCATGCGAAAACATGATGGCCAGCGCGCAGGAGCTCCCACACAAATCCGGCATGCGACTTTCCAATAAGAATCACCCCCTTGTCCTCATGCAGGAAACGAAATGCACAACTTCTGCAACCGTTTAGGATGTCGTCCCCACCGCCCATACACCTCTCGTTCGTTTCCTTCCTCGCCACATGCTTTGCTGTGCATCTCTTGAATTGCTCCTCATCAACGTTCAACCTCCGATTTAGGAGCCCTCGTTACCTTCCTGAGCTCGCCCCCCTCAGCATGCAGGACGACCGCCATCGTGTCCTTATAATCGACTTGCCAGTTTCCATACTTGCTGACAGCCGTTCCGAATGCGAGATAACGCTTCCAAGTCCCGAGTAGCACCTCTGCATCATCCCAGTTGTAAAGTTGCTTCATGACGGCCTTGTGCTGTTTTTGCAGAGCAAATACAATCAGAATCCAATTATTACCGCACAATTTCGTCATCATTTTGCGCAGAGCATCGAAATCGGATGGCGTCCATACAAGGCAGTTTTTCGGGTTGGCGAGATCCAAGATGGCCGCCTTGCAATTCAAGTTCGTGACCGTAGTCACAATTTCGTCGCCTGCAGGCAGCAACTCCTTCGGTTGCATGTTGACCGGTAGCAATGTCGACCGTCGCTGTTTCTTCTCCCAGCWAAGATTAAGGGCAGCGTTCTTCAACCGCCGCAACTCTACTGTCAGCAAGTCCACTATCTCAATCGCATGGTACACGAAGTACTTGAAGTGGAAAGGTGCGTCCCTATACAACGCTCGGTGGCCTTCAAGCCAGCTCCTTTTAGGCCTTTTTCCTCTTGCTCTCCGCCGAGTCTTTTAGGAACCCTCCTGACATATTCCAAAGGGATTTTATCCCTCTCCTCATTCCATTCGGCTGCCTTCACACCGAACCTTTTCTCCAACCCTTCGTAGTCGATGAAGTTCCCGTCCTTCGATTTTTTCCCCTTTTTGTTTTCCGATTTGAAGACGATGTAGTTGAACAGATGCATCATGTATCTTTCCCGCTGCATGATGTCGAGGAGGTTGCTCATGTTCAACTTCCCTAGAGGAACCAGTCGGGTAGTGGCGATGACCTTCTTATCTATCATCAACCGCGATGCAATTTCCTTCTCTGGCCTCGTCATATTTCCAAAATATTTGAAGTTTGATGCAATGAGATCTTTGAAGAACACGGTAGCGTTTGGTCCCCCGTCCTTAGCCGCTATGCAATGGAACAGCTCCTTCTTCCCCTGCACCTCTTCAGTGTATTGGCCCGGCACCCGTCCTTCCTGCTTTCCGGGCAAGTCCTTTGGGCATTTGTTGTCGTGCAGCGGCAACTCCCCCGCCTCATACTTATCAAAAACCTCCTTAACCAGTGTCCATACCGGGTCCTTGCAACTGGCGACATTCATGTACCCCCTCATTCTTTTCGTCCAGTCCTGCTGCCACTTCCCAGAGATACACTCGGTCCACAATGCTTTCTCACACGACTTCCCCATGCACGAACTCAAAAATTCCCTCCATGTTTTCTGGTGCTCCAAGCCTTTGGGATCCCCTTTGGACACGTTCCCCACAGACCCGATCCGTTTCTTGCTGTCCCAAAATCCTCTGATGTCCACGCAGGCTTGGTGGAACGATGGCAACATAGCACGGTCACCTCGCGTGTTGTCATATGTGGAAACATAATGGTACCCGTTTGTATGGTCATTGTCAAAATAAATGATCCGTACACGATCATAATTCCGAAAGCCGAACACCTCCACCGCTGCAGAGTTCTTCGCCACCGCTCTTTTCATAGCTTCGGAAGAATGTTGACCGGCAACCGGGTAATAGAAAAACTCATCTGCCCGTTCGGGGTCGAAATCCTCTGGAAGGACACAGGTTCCTTGTTCGTCCGCGTCCTTTGATGGATTAATCGGAGCCATCACCAACTCCGGTGGATCCCACGGAGCCGGATCATCCACGGACTGTGGGCGAGTTGATGCTTCGATTGCCGCTTCGATGCCTGCGACGATGGCCGGGTTCAGCGCTCGCTGGTTGAAGGTGATCTCTCCCACCGGAATCGGAAGAATCTGCATGACGTCAATGACCACCCTAGGCGGGTCCTTTCTCTTTTTGCCGTCCTCGTCGTACTCGAGGAAGAAGCACTGCGTCATGTTCACCGCTTTGGGTTTCTTCGTCTCCGGTTCGTCGTCGTCAGGGATGGAGAGCAAACGAGGGGCCACCCCTTCASCATCGTCGCTCGAGTCATCCGATTTCGGGTGCCTCGACGGCCGCACAGGCTTCCTGGGTTGCGACGTTTTGCAAACCCGAGCTTTGGATTTGGATTCCACACCGGCTTCACCAAGCGTACCAGCAGCTGCATCCAAGGCGAGCCAAGCGTCCTGCATAGCTTTTCTTCGAGCCTGCTTCTTAGGCACGGCTCACTTCGGCGACGATTCCACTGTGCATTTTCCCCTCCCCTTCGAAGTAAGCTCCGCGGAAACATCGACATCTTGTCCTTCGTCTTTCATTTCCTCGTCTTCCATTTCCTCATCTTCCATCTCCTGGTCTTCCATCTCCGAACCACCCACATTACCACCGAGCACCCCGCCACTTGCCGCTGCCTTTTCGCAATCCATGTGGTCCTGCCCACCACCACATTCTCCTTCATTCTCATCGTCTTCTCCATTGCCCCTCGCCCGGGCTTCGTCACCTCTACTATCCTCCCGCTCTGCATTCACATCGCAAGAGCCCTCGCCCTGGGTGAACCTTCGCGTGGCTAGTGACTGGGATTGCAATCGGCGAATCCGTTCATCGTCCTCCGTCTTCTCGCTTGACTCCTCGTCCATTCGACGTTGGGAGGTGTCCCGCGAGCGCGAGCTTCTACCGACACGCGAGCTTCCCGGAAGACTGAAAGGTGGTTTGTCGAGCACCTTCTTCTTCGGAACGTTTCCCGATGACCCACCGCTCGGACGCCTCTGGTAAGTAATGAGTTTCTCCTTCGCGGACACAGATGGTTGCGGAGTCGAGACATCCTGCCGCCAATCGCTAGAGCATGCTGACAAGCCTGCGAGACTTTCTCCTGGAGCGTCGAACGACTCAAGAGGCAACAAGAGCTGGTAACCAGCGGAGACCGTCGGGTATTGACCACTTCTCCTATACCCATTGGTCTTGGTGAGGAATTCAATGGGTAAGAGCATCCTCAAAGCATTCCCGTCCCGCTTGCTGCTGAAGGCTTTCATACCGAATGCCTTCTGACCATACCCCTTGAACAGMGCAATKTCAAGGCTGACCTTRTGGTCAGTCTTGACCCAGTTCGTACCCTGCTCATCGTACACCGAAGTGAGGAAGAATTTCCTCAAATCTCGGTCGTCGACCTTACCCTTGTCCGCCATGGCCTTGTCAACTTCAGACCTGATGATGCCACCACAACAATACCAGGTTGTCCCTTCGTCCTCCGTCAAGAATACAGCAGCACCGCACCCGGGCTCGCCGGGCACTCCGACCCAGTCGAGAGCCCACAGCTTGTCGCGGTACAGTTTTGACCTGTTGTTGTACCTCTTATCCGCATCTTCAGGACACCTACGACCTTTCGCTGGAGGAGATATCAAAAAGAAAAAGAACGAGGGATGCATTAATGACACCTATCTCTATCTCCCACATCACGAGATGGAAAAAACCAAAATACAAAAGCAATTCCATGCCACATGCCGACGGCAGACCTATCTCTACCTCACACTATGGGCAGCAACCGCATGTGTCGACCCTGGGGATCGCGGGGGTCCT